TGTAAAATTAGGAATAATTTTGTACTGTAATGCAAACATGAACTATGTATACTGCAGTGAATTATAAACAGTAGAGAGTATTATTGTTGTTTTTACAAAAGAAAACATTGTGTAATGCTCCCTGTTGTTAGTGTTTTTAGGTCATTGTGTTGTGAGTGATAAAGTGTGTTTGTTTGGTGAAAACCTTTGCTAGTGTTACGAAAGAATAAGTTGATTTGAGACATTAATGAAGCGTTTTGGTAGTTTTAGTGCATTTTGAATGAGAAATGAACTGCTGTGTAAAGTTAAAAGATGGTTAGGAGAACTGTGTGAAGAGTTTAGTGTTGAGAAATGTGTCCTAGCGATTGTAAAAAAACTTTAAACCGAGCTTCATATTCTCACTATATGATAAAAATGTGTTTCAAAACATTCAGGCTTTAAAGGGTTAAAAGAGTTTTTAGAGCGCTATGAAATGTTAAATTTTTTTACCAAATTCTATATTTTTTTTCCGTTTGAATTTTTCTGGACTGCTTTTTTAATGGGTAAATTTAATTTTATTAATCAAAAAGTATATCTAATTAATTAAAATCGTGAAAACTTTTTCTGGTTATCAAATAAAGGCACAAAACATTAATTTTATTTATCTTTTAATTAATGAAAATTAAGCAAATTTTACTTTTTTTGGCAAATAAAGGAGATTTACTATTAAAATGAAAACATGGAAGAAATATTGTGAGATTATTCCTTAAAAAATAAAGTTTTATTAATTTTTCAACAGTAGTAGTAGCAGTATTATAGTAATATATTTCTGCCACAATGTCTTCTTCAAGTTAAACCAAACTTTTATTTTGACGGGTTGCTGTGAATACCTTTACATTTCTGTGTGTATATATGATATGACGCTATATATATATATATATATATTTCTACTCTCAGAGCAGTTTTGGAGATGTTGTTCATGTATTTATGTACTCATATATTGAGACAAGTACAAGTAGAAAACAAAACCATTAATTCACACAGAGACGCAGAAATGCAGGACTCATTTTAGTCTTTTTGCGGCTTAATATTCACAGACACTAGTCCACATCATGTTTTGATTTAAGTGTCTTGACCTACTTTTAATTTTTATAATTTTAAATTATAAATTATGATTATTATTATCGATGCAGAGTGGAGAAGGGGTAGGATTAAATAAGCTTGTGCTTCTTCCTACACTGCAAAAACAAGATTTTCTTAGTATTTTTTTCTTGTTTTCTAGTACAGATATCTAAAGGTTCTTGAATCAAGATGCATTTACTTGACAACAGTGTTAATTTCGTTGACGAAAAATTTTCGTCATAATTTTCGTCAACGACATTTTTTTCACCGACGACAACGAGACGATAATGAACTAAAACTCTTTTTAAATGACAAAAACCATGACATAAATCTATTGACATTTTCGTCAACGAATAAAATCAAGATGAAAATGTTGGGCGGGACATAAGCTAACATACACTTGCTGCACGTCGCATAAAACGTTCAAAAATGTCAATATGTGGGAGTAAGAGAAGAGCAGACATGTGGATAAATCTGACGATGCAAGAGAGAACTCAATTCGGTCTGGTTTTCTGAGCGCAGACACTGATGCACACACACACAGAAAGCGCCTCTCACAGCG